AAGCCTGGGTCGTTGGGAGAAGTGTATCTTTCTAAAAGGGGACTATGTTGAAAAATAAATAAACAAATTTTAAAAAAAAAGGTGTCTTCATTTCTAACACGGGTACTTATTGAACCGCCCTCGTATTTCTAACCAGAACGGAGTTGATTGACTTCTCTTTTGGATTCACATCTGTCTCATATTGCATAAAGGCTATTTTTTTCATTTGAATAAACAGTATTCTCCATATAAGTACAGAAATTAAATAAAATAATTAGAGTAAAGTTCAGCGTTATTATATGCGCCATTCTGTTTAACAAGCAAGAAAATTTTCATGTCTACTGAGGCGTTGCGACGTCAACTGGTAGAGAGCGTCTTGTGCGATAATCGACGTTGTTTTAAACTTTACAACAGCTGTTGAAGTCGGTCTCGTATAAACGTAAACTATGTAGGTTTCTACACGTGAAGTATGAGAAGTTAAGAAGGGAAGAAGTAACTGAACACTTTTGACATCGTTCACTTACATAAAGTTTTTACTAGCTACATACATAATAAAGTTGTAACACTTTGTTCAAAAGGTAAAACATTTATTAAAATCAAAACCGTTTTTATCGTACTAGTCAAACTTATGATTTTTATAAACGACAAAGTAGAAATGCTCGTTTGGGTACGATTTGCACATTGGATAGGAAGGTAAAATACAAATCAAAAACCTTAATAAACAATTTAATTGAGACGAATCGCCTCACAACATAGGGGTTTTGATCTGTTACCTATTATTAAATTAACTGTGATGTTCGAGGTTTCGCCTGTTTGGAATTCAGTTTGTTTCTCCAAGTAGTATTCTATCAATTAATAACCTTACATACATTTAGATATATGATGTTCTAAACTCTGAAGGTCTATTCTAATTGGGGTGAAAAAATTTTTGAAGCTGGAAAAGTAGTTTTGAAGTTTACCTCCTTTATCCAAACTTGCAAACTTTACCTCATCATAATATTAGTGTAGAATACACTGTCACCGCTACCTTTTAATCTATACATCGAAGACACAACCAACATGATTAAAGACAGTACAACTGTAGGAATAGATATACAGGGGCAGAAGACTAGTACGCTTAGATTTGCAGATGATATAACAGTATTAGCATCTAGCAAGGAGAAGTTAGAGATAGCTTTAAATAAAATTGAACAGTACTGTATGAAAATAAATAAAAGTAAAACAAAAATACTGGTATGCAAGGGAAGGAAAAGTAAGGAACGGGCAAATATAAAGATAAGAGACCAAAAATTAGAAGAAGTGGTCGATTTTAGGTATCTAGGATGTCAGATAAGTCAGGACGGAAGGAGTAGTAGTGATATAAAGCAGAGAATAGCGCAGGGTCGAGNAAAATTTATGTAAATGGAATCCAATTTAAGATTTATAGATCAGACAGAAGAAAATTATGCAGAATAGAGAAAACGAATTTTAAAAAGGTCATTACGAAGAGATGATGGTGATTTAAATAAAGTAGAGTTCGGAAAAACTTATTTAAAGGGTAGATATTACCAGTAAATAATTAAATTAAGGGAAGGGTTTCTCGAAAAATCAAAACTGTCCCAGTCTTCAAAAATTATTTAAGTGCTTATTAAGTTTGAGGAAGTTCGTAGTACCTATCTACATTAAAAAATGCAAAAAATCAGTCAAAAACTAGCAGTGTTGGAAATGAAAACTTTTACGGTATGTTTCAAGAAACTACTAATTTTTAGCTAGTGAGTTAGAAGGGCAAAAAAAGAAAACTTTTAGGTGTTTCATTCCCACCAGCCACTAATGCTGGTGCGCGGGCAGTCCGGAAGGTAGGGCGGATGGCCCTCTTCAGCCTCTTTTCCGGAATAGTGGGAATGGGTGGGTGGTGGTTCAGGTGAGAAAGATAAGACGGACGAAATAAAACAGAAGAGAATGAAAAGATTATCTGTGGAATATTACTGTCCCAGCATTAGCCTAAGTGCCCAAGAAAACCACAGAAAAACTTGGATGCAGGTAAACGGACCCGGAATCGAACCGGCGTCCTCCCAAAAACTGAGAAATGGTCTAGTCTAAACCTTTAGGCTTTAGGCTTTTGTCTCTCTGTCAAATTTTTTGAAACTTTGGATTCTGGTAGTTCTCAACGTTTAGATTAAAAGTCTCAATGGGCGTAGGTAAGTCTTTTTGAGATATAGTCAAAGAGTTTGACAGGTCCTTTTTCTTAAGAATCTAGTGGGGTCCTTTAGATTAGAGGATACCTATGGTATTAAAAAAAAATCAAACTGCGTAGTGACCTAACCACCCACTTTATTATACACATTCATCGGAGGTGTCTCGTTTCGTATGAAGAAGTTGTAAAACCTTAAACGTTTTGCCAGTGGTCATAGACCCTTAATGGTCGGATACAAAGTCATAGGTGTCATACAAAAAGATTTTATTTTTTCTAAGACAGCATATGCATTATTATGTGCAACTCTTTTTCTTCTTCTCAAAATTTACGCGCAAATGCTTTGACCACTAAGCTACGAAGATAAAGCCAAAGAGCCCGGGTTCGATTCCCGGCGGGGGTGTGACAACAGCAACAAAAATTTTTCCTCATTAATTTGAGGAAGTGTGTAGTGGGCAAAAAAGAATTCAAGAAATTCATTTTCAGAATAATATTTCATATTAAACTAACTCACTTCTAAAAGATGTCTAAAAAATTGTATGTATGTTTAATCATAGTATATATTAATTCGACGGATTTGTGGCCTAATAAGTACGGTTTGTCGTTGTTGCTGTTGTCATCTCTCGTAGCTTAGTGGTCAAAGCATTGGCGCGTAAAGCCAAAGAGCCCGGGTTCGATTCCCGGCGGGGGTGTGACAACAGCAACAAATTTTTCCTCATTAATTTGAGGAAGTGTGTAGTGGG